GTTAGTGGGGGCTAATCGATGGTCTTTTTCTGAACCATAGTGAGGAGGAAGATTGAAGGAGAAGAATGGATGGATCGATTCTCATCTGAAAGAAGAAAATTCCAACCGTGAATGTGATTTTCGTTTCAGGAACAATTGTACGTATTGTAACGCGTCTGTGCTAGGCACAAAAGAAACCCGTTTAATACGTCTTGAATACAAAAAATTGTCTTTTATTAAAAAAAATAAAGAGAAAACAGAGAAGTTGGTTTCGGTGCCTGGGGTGGCTGTAGAACATACAGATTTCTTGTCTTTTTTTCTTGGTGTTATTGCAAAAGTGCATCTGTACCCCAAACTTTCCCCAACCAGTAACCAGGAACTGAATGTAAACAAAGAGGGCCAGAGATGCTGACTGACATCATTATCCAAATGTGGCCATGAACATGTAGCCATCAGCTGGGGAATCTCTCTGCTGGCAGCTGAATGGAGCCCGGGTTGCATCAGTGGTTGCTAAGAGGCTCATAGCTGTATATAGCTGACAGCCTCTTAGTCATCAAGGATGCTGGCAGTGGGCAGAGCCTGCTGGGAAACTATGAGAGGCTAGTTCCCCATCAGGTCTGCTGCTCTTGTGATTGCCAGCAGACAGTGGGTGGATTTCATAGTCAATAGCAGGCAGACCATGGAATCCACCCACTGTCTGCTGTCAATCACAAGGAAGGCAGATTTCATGGGGAACTAGTGTCTCAGAGTTCCCCATTAGGTGGACTCCAGTCTACATCTATTTTTACGCAGTTAGAGTAAGGGTTAATGACATGTATATGTGATTTTACTGCTGTATGCAGCGATTGGAGTTAGTCGTGAAGAGTGATCCGCCTGTTGCTTCTTCACGACTATTACGGAAATAATTACAATGTATTGAGGGTTAGAGGTCTGTTCACACTAAACGCACGGTTAAAGGAGAACTATGAGGCGAGTGAAAATCACTCAGCCTCATAGTTCTAGCCGACCTGTGACAATGAAACTGTCACACGTCGGCTCAATAGATTGGGAAGTGAGCGAACACATAGCGTCGCTCGATCCTGTCCCTGCAGAGAGCCGTGACTGTCACTCACGGCTTCTCACCAGGGCTGCATACGGTCTCACCAGGGCTGCATACGGTCTCACCAGGGCTGCATACGGTCTCACCAGGGCTGCATACGGTCTCACCAGGGCTGCCTTTGGGTCTTACCAGGGCTGCCTTTGAGTCTCACCAGCGTTGTATGCAATCTCAGCAGGGCTCCGTTTGGGTCTCACCAGGGCTGTATGTGGGTGCCAGGCTCTCCGGGTGGGTGCCGGGCTCTGCGGGTGGCGGCTGGGCTCCAGGACTGTACGAGCGCTGTGGGGCTGTGCTTTCCTGTGCGTGTCTCTGCTGGCGCCGGGAAGGAGGAGGAGATGTGGGGCCAGACAGGCACTGTCAAAGACGACTGCCTGAGGTCCCCAGCAAGCGCAGGAACTCAGGGAGCCAAACTTTAAAAATGGAAAGGGCCGTCATCGGCCTCTAGTATCGGGGTATTTTCACAACTACTAGTATCAGTGTCAGGACATCCGTACTGGAAAGGTTTACTCTGCTAGACTTACGGCAGTGGTTCTCAACCTGTGTACCCTCGGGACCCACATTCGTCCTTGGTCATTAAGTCGCGACCCAAGTCGCACTACAATGGAACGCAAGGTATTAGGGTATAGCGCACAGTATGAACTGTGGGTGGGATGTACCTTAGGGGCACCATTCGAATGAATAGCAACGCAACACACCTCCCACACCAGAGTGCACGGTAGGTGCGATTGGGTGGTACAGTGCATTAATTGCATGGTACTATGCGATTAACGCACTGTACTAGTGTGAATGGGCCCTCAAAAACACTGACATACAAACACAACCACAGACACAATCTCACACACTCACATTCTCACACACATGCACACTGTTTTTCTTTTTTTTAAGGTCTATTCAGACTCTCTACCTTATGAGAACTGAAGTGGACCCTCAGCCTGGGTCCAGTGTGGGCTCCTGTGCTGTGACGCAGCTCCATCCATATGTGCATTGTTTGTACAGCTCCCTCATGTGTCCTGTAAAGGTGCCGGGAGCCAGAATGTGATGTCACTGCGGCCCAGGCACCTCTGCAGAACACATGAGGGAGCTGTAAGCAATGCACATATGGATGGAGTCACGACCCACCAGTTGAGAACCAAGGACTTACGGTATATAGAGCAGAGTTAGAACCGGTTCACACATGGGCGTTTTGTAGCGCGTTCCTACGCTCTGCAAAACGCTCAAACACCTCAAACAAATACCCATTCCTATGGGTATGGTTCACACCTGGGCGTATTAGAGGCCATATGAACGCGCTACAAAACGTCCTACGCCCAAAGAAGTACAGGAGCTTCTTTGGGGCGTTTTTGACCCCCTTTTTCATTGGGATACAGCCAAGTAGCCCTCGGAAAACGCGCGTTTGTTGCGCGTTTTTTACCGCGAATCGCACGACAAACGACCATATTCGATACGCCTAGGTGTGAACCCAGCCTAAATGTTTCTGGAATACAATGTTTCACTTGCAGGCGTCAGGGAGCCGCTATCTAGTACCAGGAAACTCCAGAAAGGTCCGGGAGAGTTGAGATCTCCGATACATACAGTAGAAGAACGTTCAGAAAGACTCGTAGGGCGAATGGCTCAGTGAATTGGTTATAAATAGACCCCACTAAGCATTTAGCTATTCCCCTTCCATGTTATTCAAATGTAATTTATAGGAGCAGAGTTATTGGGCGGGGATATTATCCAGAGAAAGTGGCAACCTCAGTACTGAGAGTACCTACAGAGAATATATCATAGGAGTACTTACAGCAGCCTTAGTGTGCAGTGTAGGAGTACATATGGTATGCTATGTACACATGATGGGAGTACCCACGGCAAGCACAGTACACATGATGGGCGTACATATGGTATGCTCTGTACACATGATGGGAGTACCCACGGCAAGCACAGTACACATGATGGGAGTACATAAGGTATGCTCTGTACACATGATGGGAGTACCTATGGCATGCTCTGTACATATGATGGGAGTACATATGGCATTCTCTGTACACATGATGGGAGTACATATGGCATGCTCTGTACACATTATGGGAGTACATATGACATGCTCTGTACACATGATGGGAGTACATATGGCATGTTCTGTACACATTATGGGAGTAAATATGGCATGATCTGTACACATGATGGGAGTACATATGGCAGGGATGGCCAAACTCTGGCCCTCCAGCTGTGGTGAAACTACAAATCCCATGAAGCATCTCTCTCCAGGAGTCATGTCTGTGGCTGTTAGAATCTTGCAAAGCTTCATGGGATTCGTAGTTCCACCACAGCTTCATGCTCTGTACACATGATGGGAGTACATATGGCATGCTCTGTACACATGATGGGAGTACATATGGCATGCTCTGTACACATGATGGGAGTACATATGGCATGCTCTGTACACATGATGGGAGTACATATGGCATGCTCTGTACAAATGATGGGAGTACATATGGCATGCTCTGAAAACATGATGGGAGTACATATGGCATGCTCTGTACAAATGATGGGAGTACATATGGCATGCTCTGAAAACATGATGGGAGTACATATGGCATGCTCTGTACAAATGATGGGAGTACATATGGCATGCTCTGAAAACATGATGGGAGTACATATGGCATGCTCTGTACACATGATGGGAGTTTCTTTGGCAGTCTCATTACACATAATGCAAGCAGGGCCGGATTTACTCTCTCTGCTGCCCCAGGGCCAGGTTCCTCAATGCGCCCCCCTACCCGACAAACCCCCCCCCCCCCATGGAGAATGGCAGACCCGCAGGCTGCATACAAGTGATCTCAACGATGTTGCCGACATCACTTGTACAAAACAAGCGGCGGCTTCCCCTCTGTACATTTAGCTTTGCTTGCCCAAAGCAGGGCTAAATGTAAAAAACAACTACCCACCCAGCGCCTGGAACTGCATCATCCCGTGCATCAGGAGATAGGAATTCCACACCCCTGCTGCTGGGCCTTGTGGGAAATCCGGCCCTGAATGCAAGCACCTACGGCAGGGCCAGGTTAGGCAATTTAGGCCCCCCAGCTGTGGTAGAACTACAAATCCCATAATCCCTCTGGGAATCACGCCTATGACAGTCAGAGTCTTGCAATGCATTATGTGACTTGTAGTTTCACAACATTTGGTTGCTTACCCCTGACCTATGGCAGTCTCAGGACACATGAGCACCCATAGCAGCATCATTATATGTGATGGGAATAGCTGGGGTACCCTCAGTACAAATGATGGGAGTATGTATTTTTTCCCCCCTTAAGTTCACAGTCATGATCATACTAAGGACGCCTCACTGACCCCTAAATGCCCCTCTGAGTGGAAAAACATTACTGCGCATGCGCTACATGTACAGGAACGCGCTTTGCTCGCGCTCTTTGCTTTGCTTTTTACGCATGCGCAGTGTCCGGCAGCGCTGGGACTGTCAGAGGTGCGGACGCCCCGCCTCTTTCCCGGGGACAGTGGGCGTGTTCGCGGTCCAGGGTGGAGCTGTGAGCGAACCGCAGCACTGTGATCAACGGGCGCGGCGGCAGAAGCGACCCGATCCGGGCTGGGTGAGTGACGCCTCGCCCCTCCGCACACCCGGGAGAATCAGCCCGGACTGGATGTTCCCTCAATAAGAGGCGGTGATCTGGACCGTGTGCGGAGCCGTACATCGCTCCTGTCCGCAGCCTGCACCCGCACATCACCGGGCACCTGTCACATGTCCAGAGCGTTGTCAGCGAGCTGCTCATTGACTCTCGTTGACACATCAACTTGGAATACTGCAACCCGGGCCAGTGCAATGGAGCATTGACACCCAACTTCCAATCCCTTCCCAGCTGTATATTGCATTTGTATCACATCTACCTCCATACCCCTGCAGCTGCCCACCTGCTAAAATCAGATCAGTACCTTTTCAATCATCGATCATATTCAATTAGCAATGAATGATTATAGCCTGATGTTGCCATTTGTATAGAGTCACCCTGGAAGGTGATCAGTATATGGAATAACTGGGTTCCTTTTGTTACCTATACAGGGTATTGTCCTAAATCAGCCTAGGTGGCCTTCCACCTACCCATGTATGCACATGTCTCTATGCTGAGAGCCCCATTGACATGCAGGTGTAATTCATTAACTGTCAGCTGTGCGCAGCCTAGCATTGAGAACTCTCAGTTTCAGTAAGTAAAAAGGAGGCAAGGTACCATCGCACCCGAGAAGATGTCCATACTCACGCTGTTAAGTCGGACTGCCTTGCGACCCGCCGTCTCCCTAAAGCCCTGGAGCTGGCTGGGGATGAACCGTGGGGGGTGTCCTGGGACCTCGGTCTTGCAGAGCTGCAGGCTGCTGGGCACGCACCCAAAGAAAGAGCCTATGGAGTCGCTCAACACGGCTCATGGAGCCAGGGACTTCATCTACAGCCTGCACCCCAGCGAGAGGACCTACCTGCTCAGAGAGCTGCACCGATTCGAGTCCATAGCTATCGCACAAGGTAAGCCGCGCTCAACTGTTGGATAAACAGATCCATTGTGTTACATTGTCACAATCACAAAATGTCTTCTAGGCTCATAGCAATCCTAGACTCAATAGAACCCAGAGATTTCAGTGCCTGTGTTGTGAACTGTCACGTTCCTCCACAATGCATATAGATAGAGAGGTGAATGAGGACTTGTTTTAAAATGCTCCTACCGCTTATTCAGCATATGTAAATACTTTAGCTTACATGAACTGCCATAATAACTTTGTTAGAGAACAGAGCTATGGGAGGGACCCAGCAGGCTCCACCTACCAAAGGCTGTCTGCAGAAAACTACAGGAGTGGGCGGAGCAAGACCAGTCACCCTGCACAGGGAGAGCGAGCAGGAGAGACCGGTCTTTGCACATTTCTTCTACTTTTTCTCTTCACGCATCAAAGCACACCGGGAATCAAGGAAGAATGCACATGACTGTGTATTTAGAAACTATTTGCTGATCCCAGAGATCAGCCTTTACAAAGATGAAATGGGAAATGTGGATAATAAAGGTAACACAGCTATCCCTGCCCCAGCCCCTCCAACCTTCCCATGTGTATTTGTTCTCATATGAGCCAATCAGAAGGTGAAAGTCTTATGGATGTGATTAGAATTTTACTAATCTCATAGAAGAGACATGTTGATGGACCTCAAGCTGTGAGGACAGTGTGCTGAGTTGGTGTTTCTAGGCTGACAGCGTTTGTTTCTGGTTGTCTTATTTAGTTTTTAATGATGGGATACTGTCAGTCGCCTGGGGATTATTTTTTTATAAAGGGGTTGATCTTCTGGGGGCTTCAGCTCCTCATGTGACATCTTGCAGCTTTTAGTGAATACATTGTCATTGCATCTGTGTTCTCTCATGATAAACAAGACCCATCTCTACTTCACCAATACCCATGGGAGCCATTTATTATAGCATTGGCAGCACTTTCTGTTCACTTTCAATTCAGAGAACCAGTGTGACGTTTCTAATGGTATTCCCGACTCATTTCAGATTCAAGTCGTTCTTAATAGCCAAACTTTTACATTCTGTCGCAATGGCTGCAACGAATGCATAACAAAATACCCCCATTTTGGAGATAAGTAAACTGGCGGTAAATAATCCAATGTCGTTTTGGAGTAATTTATCTCAGGGGTCAGACATTTGACCTGCGCCCCCCTATTTGTTGGTTGCTAGAAGCTGACAGCCCCAAGACTACTGGTGTCCTAATAACCAATTATGTTCAGATATAAAACCTGCATTGGTTGTTAGGACGCCAGTGGCCCCGGGTTCTTTTGGGGTCAAATAATGTCTCATCTAGGGCTGCAACAACTAATCGACATAATCGATTA